ATGAAGAGCCAGTGTGTAGCAAACAGTTATTAGAGAAAACCAGCACAGTAAACACAGAGGAACTGCATATGGATCATCTTTTACCGGACCAATCTATAGATTGGGAAACATCGTCCTCAGACACAGATGAGACAAACTCAACTGACTCAGAAGACTTATCTTTATTACTAATCCCAGGTATGAAGATTGAAGGCCTTTCAAAGGTTTATATTATAGAAAAAGTACTTGGATCTGGGACATACGGAGCGGTGGCCAGGTGCCGTGTACAGGAAACAAATGAGGTCGTAGCGTTGAAAATGACACGTGAAAGCGATTACGGCTTTTTTTTCAATGAGACGAAAATATTAGAAAGTCTGAATGAGCTCACACAATGCGATAGCTATTTTATCCGAATGAATGGCAGTTTTGCCTTTCAAGGCTTTTTATATCAGGAATTAGAGCTTTTGGATACAAATTTGAGTGAGTTTTTGGAGAATGAAGGTTGTTGTTTAAATCTGGCTGAAATCCGACCAATTGCCCAGCAGATCTTAGAAGCTCTTAGTGTTTTAAAACAGCTTGGTATTACTCATGGAGATGTGAAACTTGATAATATCATGTTCGTAAATCGTAAAGCACAACCATTCAGAGTGAAGCTGATTGACTTTGGGTTGGCTTTTGAGACTGAACGTTTACCACAGAAGGGTATCATTCAGAATTTGGCATACAGAGCTCCAGAGGTAACTCTTGGTCTACCACGAGATGAAGCGATAGACACTTGGAGTCTTGGCTGTCTCTTGTCTGCTCTGTTTCTTAAACATCTTCCGTTCCCTTATAGCAGCAGCTACAATAATCTGAGCATAATTATGAAGCTCCTTGGTCAACCTGACAAAGAACTACTAGACAAGGGGAGTCTAGTCTCAAAATATTTCACAAAAGTTAAGAAAGGCACTGAACATTCTTGGAGATTTAAGAAGAAAGGAGGGAAGTCTAGGGACATGACCTATGAGTGTATAACATCCCTGGAGGACTTGTTTTTCGATGACACCAAAAATTCAACTGAAAAGAAAGATGTTAAAGCTTTTCTTGATCTCGTGAAAAAACTGTTAGCGGTGGATCCAGCAAAGCGGATTCTCCCAGCTGATGCTCTTAAACACCCTTTTATCACGATGGAGCATCTCGACGGCGCTTCAGATGAAGATTATGTGAGAAACGTTTGTGAAATAATGAAAAATTTCCAACCAGGAAACATCCCTCCACATGATAAAATTAAAATCCCCAAACGTCCAAGGTCAAAAGAATTAAAAAAGTTGCTCGAACAACAGTTTGGAGCAAAACACACTGGTGTCAAAAGACATTCAAGCCTTGTGACGATTAAGAACTTCTTCACCGAGAAGTACAACTCCTTCAAGCGTTACTTGTCTAGAACCTGGTAGTTTAGTATATACGTATGTAGAACTTGTTTTAGTTATATTATTTTTACCAAATTAGAACCAAAAACGGGGCTGCATGGGGACACGCTTAATCACAGCGCGTGGTTAACACGTTGTCCCCATGCATGCGTGGGTTTTCTCTGGGTGCTCCAGTTCCCCCCACAAACACCAAAAACATAGCAGGTTAGGTTTATTAGTGTATTTGAATTATCCCTAGGTGTGGGTGAGTTAGTCACCTGCCCAGGGCGTCTCGTGTCTCTTGGGTTAGGGGGGGGCGCACGGGGGTGGGGTGGGGTGGGGGGGTCTTTACAGTATGCTCTAATGGGAAACAGGCTTCAACACAAACGGTTGTTTTCTGCTTGGTCCTAGAGCTCAACCAGTGTCAATTTAATATAGCGTAATTTTTTTTGGATAGTAAAAAGTGCAGGGGTCAACACTTGACTTTGGAAAAAGTAGGGGGGACATGTCCCCCCTGTCCCCCCCCCCCCAAAATTACGTCCATTGTGAAGAGGCCGACCTAATGCTCAAAGGCAGCACATTCCATATGATTTATTATTATTATTATTATTATTATTATTATTGCAGTTTTGCAGGAGGGCAACATTTGTGACTCTCAACTGGAAGGGTGCAGCCCTGTATTAAGTGCTTTTCAGATTAAAATTAATTCAGATTTTTGCTGAAGAAGGGGTGGGATTTACTAAAAATAGGGAACTAAGTATTTCCTGAGCCCTGTTCAGTCATTGTGGATGTCTGTGCAGGACTTATTTAGAAGGGACCTGGTGCTCTTTGTTGGAAGGTTAAGAGTGACTCAAACATAAAGTTGTTGGTGTCTGAAGTGCATCTATACGTCAAATAGTTGACCCAAAGCACAAAAGCCAACACCCGCAGCCATATTGAGTAGGTGTTTTGCATAGGAGCCCCACCGACTTCCCTCGTCAGTAGAAGCAGGCTCTGTCTCTTGAGAATCAGTGAGAGATTCAGGGATGTGAATCTCAGAGCAACTCACGATTTGATTCGATTCCGATTCTCGGGGTGCCGATTCGATTCATTATCGATTCTCGATTTAAATAGATTCACAATCAATATTAACAAAGAGTGTCCGTTCCAGGATTATCTACTTTGTTGTGCAAGTTAGTTAAAGCTATTGGAAAATTTTTATTTGACTTTAAACTGGTCATGCTAAAAAAAAGAAGCTAATTTACACTGTAAACTAAAGTGATTCTAAAACTGTAAACAGAAACAATCTTTTGACCAAAAGGCAACATTTATTTTTGCTTACCTTGTAAAATATAACAAATCTGTAGTTATCTAACAGTAACTTTGAAAGTAATACAGTCAAATACTTTTTAAGTATGTGTAGAAACAAGTTTAACATTTGAGTCCTCAACCTGTTTAAAAAAAGTGCCTCAGATTTCTTACAAAGGAAAATGTTTTCTCTCATTTATCAATAACTTCAAATAAACACGAGTAATCCCGAGTACTCACTTATCAACTTAGAAAATAAATATGAGAATATCTCAAATTTCTGAGTCTGGAAAAAAAATTACATTCTAGTCCCAATTTATCAATTCAAAAATAAATCATCCCAATTTATGGGACCACAAAAGTAAACGGAGTACTAAATCTAACAAAGACCAAAAAAAAAAAAAAACATACAAAAGTGCGTCTCAAACCTGTAACGTGCCAAACATTTGAGTTCCTGGAATCGATTCTGAACCTTTGTGAATCGATTCTGAACCTTTATAAATAAGAATCCCGATTCAGACTTGAATCAATTTTTTTCAGCACCTCTATTCAATACCTTCCGGCTGCTCGGTTGAATCCAAGTTCTCAGATGTTACGGCTGTTCCATCACAGAAAAGATTTCGTTTGTACTGAACCTGATCTAAGTTGGCAAATGATGCTTGTTCTTTCTCTTGGTATGCAGTTGGTTCTTCTGAGGTAGAGCAAGATCTCTGCTCTCACTCCCAGCGCGTCAAAAACAAACGCTTGGTCAGCCACCCTCCGCGTCGTCACTTATGTGCGAAAAGGGTTTTTTCCCTTTTCTGACTGTGGATCCCAAATGCAGCGTGAAACTGACGCGATGGGTTATCAAGCGTTTGTTTTTGACGCGCTGGGAGTGAGAATGTGTTGGATGAAAATAAACGATGTATTACCCTACTGGTACCCGAGGTGCTTGGCTGTCCGCACACACACGGTTGATCATTTCTACCGTCCAAAGACATGTCATGTCTGCGCCCGCGCTTGGATCGGTCTCTGTTGAAAACAATGATTGATTCAGAGATTTTTTTTCTGCTTGAAACTGGTGGTCTGATTTTTGGAAAAACATTCTAATTTTAGCACGTTGTTCCGATCAAGAGAGCCGATCATTTCCTCTTTCTGAAAAATAAAGTCTACGAGATTCGCCTGGAGGCTTTCTTTGAGACATGTTGATCTCTAAAAATTGAGTTTCAGCAGAAGTAAAAGTGACCGCTCTAAACGAGATTTTAGTCTGACAGATCTGACCTGGGCTGCATGGTGGCGCAGTGGTTAGCACTGTTGCCTCGCAGCACGAAGGTCGCAGGTTTGAAACTCGGCTGCGGCCTTTCTGCGTGGAGTTGCGTGTTCTCCCCGTGCATGCGTGGGTTTCCTCCGGTTACTCCGGTTTCCCCCACAGATCACAGCATGCCCTATAGGTTATAGATTGTAATTTGCTTTGGATAAAAGCGTCTGCCTAATAAATAAACATAAACATAAACATATATGATATAGCTGTTCTGATAACAGTGTTCTGATTCTTATTTTTTATATTCTCTGTGTTTTATTGATTTTTAACTGTTAGTTCTAGGAATTTTGTTGTTTTTCCTGTTTATCTTTTATCGCTGTTCTGCATGACGGTCTGACGCCGGTTTAATTAACTAACATTTTTAGTGTACAGCGCCTTGTTTGGTTGTAATGCCTTGTTGAATACGCTTTATAAATAAAATGGTATGTTATGGTATAACCTATAATACATAGCTGTAGCTCTGTTGACTATAATATGTAAGTTTTGCCTTTTCTTGGACATTTTTTCTTCTAGTCACTAGGGCTGTAGCAACGCCTCGATGACGTCGACGGTTCGATTCTAAAAATTTGTCGATGTCAGATCCGGTAGTCGACGCACCGCGCCCACTTGTTGCATCCCCAGGAGTTTGTAAATAGGAAAGGCTGAACAAAGACTCCACCATGTTATTTCAACCATGTGTGGGAAACGCGTGTTCTGGTGCTTCACTCTCAATGCAAGTCAGTCAACAACCTGAAGCTTTGGGGTTTTATGCCACCTGGATGTTCTCATGGGACATTACTTTCCAGAGATTGTTCCAGACACCAGTATTATTCATGTCCCGTGTTTCAAAGGCCACTCTGTGTGTGACAGCAGAGGCATGAACCTAGCCTTCGCTCAGATGTCCTGAGAAGCCACAGGAGGAAGGAATGAAAACGCCCACCGGCCACAAGCCCTCGTGTGCGTGTCGGATCGAGGCGTCCTGCGGAGGCTGAGCTGTAGTTTATCGCCTGAGAGGAGCCTCCTGCCCACTGACCCCTAACAAAAACAGCCGAGGCTGTTCCACTTACCAGCCACTTCAACTATGTCCCCAGGGACAATGTCTCTGGCTCGGATGCGCTGGACACTTTTCTTGTCCTGTCGGTACACTTTCCCCATTTCAGGCTCGTATTCCTTTAAAGCTTCGATTGCGTTCTCTGCATTTCGTTCCTAGCAGACAGAAACATGCGAGGTTTTCAGAGGAGAACCGGCTGCCTATCAGGCTTTGCATTAAACTGGTTACCTGCCAAACTCCCACGATAGCGTTGGCTATCAGGATGAGGAGGATGACGAAGGGTTCCACAAAAGCCGTGATGGTCCCCTCGCCTTCTTCAAACCAAGCCAGGGTCTGCAGCAGGGAGAAGACCCGAGGAGAAAAGCAGGTCCTGCTTCATGATCAGACTAAACACGCTCACATCCAGGTGGATGATTTACTTCACCGGCAGACTTCATGTCTGACTTCTGGGCTAAAACATCTGCTCATCATTTGTTTGTGTTTTCTTACAAAGGAGATACATGCAGCCAGCAGCAAAATCCGGACCAGCAGATCTTCAAACTGTTCCAGGACCAGCTCCCAGAGGGACTTCCCTGCAGATTAAACACACAGTAACTCAAGAGCTCCACACCTGGCTCGGGTCGGACTCAAAGCAGGAGCGTGGGCTCACCTTCCTCTGCTGGTAACTCTGCAGGTGAAGAGAAAGATGAAATATCAGTCCAGATCAAACAGCATGCTAGAATGTAAATGCTTCAGACTCCAGCGGTGTGTTTAGATGCTTCTCCAAACATGTCATGGTTTCATTACAGCTTTACAAAAGTTGCTGCTTATGGAGAAGATGGGTCACCGGGTCGGGAACTCTCCAGCAGACGTGTGACAGAACAAAGTGCTGCATTATGACGTGAATGAATCCTGTTACCGTTGGGTCCCCATCGCTCCCTGCTCCTCTTCACCTGCTCACAGCTCAGGCCCGTAGACTCGTTCACACCGAAGAAGCCCAAGACCTCCTCCACAGTTTTAGTATGAGCGTTATCCATCCCTGTGAGCAGAGCAGAGCAGAGCTGGTGACTCATCATGAGGTCATAACGCAGCTGAAGTACCAAATACTCTTGGCTGCGAAGTCTCACAACAAAATGATCTGCACCAGTGGGTGAGAACGTATCAAAGCAGAGACAGAGTCCAGCAGAACCCCCTTCAGCAGCAGGACCTCATCAGTCTAGTGATGCCAGCGCCACCTAGAGGCCCACAGGAAACTTCTACTTTCATACCTGTGGGCCCACAGGATCAGTGGCGACCCAAGGGGTGGCCAGAGGGTGCCATGGCCACCCCTAAAAAAATTGCTGCCCCCCCCCCCAGGGAAGACTAGTGTTAATAAATCATATTAATGTTCACTCAATCCATAAAATCATCTTATTTAAGACATAGAAAGTACTTTGCAAACATAATCTCCTTAAATTCTCAGAATGCTAGGATACTTTTTAAGACAGTGGACTCTATTTTAAATGTCAATGAGCCCCTTGCGATTGAGTACTCCACTGAGTCATGTAACAACTTTTTAGACTTCTTTGTAGACAAGGTAAGGGTGACAAGGGCCTCTATTCCACCACTTAAGCACGCCCCCTATGCAGATCTATGTGTTCCTAAGGCACTGGAGGGTTTTCAACCATTAACTCTTGCAGAACTTGAGGATCTGGTCGTGAGACTTAAGCCGACAGGGGCGGTAACTGATGTTCTCCCGGCAAGGCTACTGACAGAAGTTTTTTCTGTAGTGGGTAACCATGTACTGCAAATTGTAAATACCAGCTTGATTTCTGGGGAAGTCCCTTGTCCCCTAAAACAGGCGGTGGTACGACCTCTGCTTAAGAAATCAGGATTGGACCCCACAATCTTGTCCAATTACAGACCTGTATCTACACTTCCTTTCATCTCAAAGATCATAGAGAGGGCTGTGTTTATCCAACTGACATCTTTTCTTCAGGAACGGGAAATTGGAGAAGTATTTCAATCTGGGTTTAAACCCTTTCATAGCACTGAATCGGCGCTGCTTAAGGTCCTTGATGACATTTTATTGGCAAATGATTCTGGTGATGCTGTGGTTCTGGTGCTCTTGGACCTGTCATCAGCCTTTGATACCGTTGATCATAACATCCTGGTAAAACGGCTGGAGCGGTCTGTTGGCATTACGGGCCAGGCACTTCAGTGGATACGATCGTACCTGACTGGGAGGAGTTTTTGTGTGAGGTTGGGGGACTGTTCCTCCAATCTGGCTGAGCTGCCATGGGGAGTTCCCCAGGGATCGATTTTGGCCCCACTATTTTTCTCCTTATATCTCATACCCCTGGGTGAACTATTTCGTAAACACAATGTGTCATTCCATCTCTATGCTGATGATTGCCAGGTCATTTTTCCAATTAAGCGTGGTGGTTTATGCACCATTCAACCTCTGTTGGACTGCCTTGAGGACATCAAGCAATGGCTGGCTCAGAACTTCTTGTGTTTCAACGAACACAAGACTGAAGTTATTCTGTTCACGCCACCAAAGACCCCAGGAGGTGCCCAAGGGCTTGATTTTGCCACTCTGGCACCGCATCAGAAGGCGGTGGTCTCTAACTTAGGGGTAAAACTGGACGCAGATCTCAGATTTGATGCTCAGGTGAACAGTGTTGTGAGATCTTGCTTTTTTCATCTACGCCGCATTGCGAAAATTAAGCCATTTCTGTCCCATAATCATTTGGAAACTGTAATCCATGCCTTTATTACCTGCAGGCTGGATTACTGTAATTCGCTATATGCGGGGCTTAGACAAGCTCCAGTAGCACGCCTCCAGGCGGTTCAGAACTCTGCAGCCCGGTTGTTAACATCTACCAGGAGGTCTGAACATATAACACCAGTCCTACGTGCCTTGCATTGGCTCCCTGTTTTTTTCGCATCAGGTTTAAGGTCCTCATGTTTGTGTTCAAGGCGTTAAACACAGGGGCTCCTAAATATCTTTCCGATGTCATCCACCAGCATGTCCCGGTGCGTTCCCTTAGGTCAGCTGACCAGAGATTACTAACTGTGCCTAGGTACAGCCTGAAGTCTCGTGGTAGTCGAGCTTTTTCAGTACTTGGACCAAGTCTCTGGAATGAGCTGCCAGCCGATGTAAAACAGGCCAAGTCATTAGAAACCTTTAAAGGAAGACTGAAAACACATCTGTTCTCGCTGGCTTTTGGACGTTGAAGTTGGGGGAAGTAGGCCGGATATGGACTGTGAACTGGCACTCAGGTTTTTGTACTGTATTTTAAAATGGATTTCTTATTGTATTTTTATAGGATTTATTACGGTATTTTACAGGGATTTTTTTGTGTATTTTAATGGATTTTTTAATGTATTTTAATGGTCATATCTCTGTCCTATTGTGTGGCATTTTATTGATGTACAGCGCTTTGTTTGTCTATTCTGGCCATGTGAAAGCGCTCTATAAATAAAGTTGATTTGATTTGATTTGATAAATGTAACACCCAATGCAAAAATCTAATGTAATGAGTAAAGAAACAACCAGATTTTTTTTAAATGTATACATGTTTCTGCTTCCATGTTGTTGTTCTTTTTTTAAAGCACAGAAACGGTTTTGTTACCTGTTGTTGACGCTACGTTTCGCCGACAGCTGCCGGCTTCTTCAGGCTGACACTGATGGTGGCGCGTCACTTCCTTCTCCGTTTATCTGCGGGCAGCAGACGCGCCACCATCAGTGTCAGCCTGAAGAAGCCGGCAGCTGTCGGCGAAACGTAGCGTCAACAACAGGTAACAAAACCGTTTCTGTGCTTTAAAAAAGGAACGACAACATGGAATTAGAAATAACGCACAGCAAGAACACACCTAAGATGTTTCTGCTGCTCACCATTTAAAAAGTCTTTTGTGAAGACAGCAGCAGGTGAATTAAAATAAAGATTAAATTCTAAAATTAATTTTGACATAACATTTCAAATAACTGACTGAGATGTTTCTCTAACTAGTTTTTTTAATATAAACAAATAAAGGAGCAATGCTGAAGGCAAGGCTAAACTCCCCCAGGTGCCCCAAAGAAAGAAAGAAAGAAAGAAATCTGTTATTTAGCACCTCTCAAGATGAAAATCACGAGGAGGTGATGAAGGTCCCACCAAAGCCTGAACAGGTGAGTTTAAAGGAGACCACTGAGTCCACTGATCTCAGGCTCAGGGGGAGAGAGGTCCAGAGTCTGGGGGCCACAGCAGCAGATGATCTGTCACCTTTGACCTTTAGCCTGGTGCTGCACAACCAGTAGGATTTGGTCACTGGATCTCAGGGACCTGCTGGGGGTGTAGGGTCTAAGAAGATCACCAATGTAAGATGGTGCTTGTCCATGTAAGGCCCTAAAGACCAGGGGCCTCGTTCATCAAGCTTGCTTACGTACAAAACGGGGTCAGAAAACTGCGTAAGCAACTTTCCACGCAAACTTTGGGATTTATAAAAGAAAACGTAGCGTAAAAATGTGCACAACTTTAAGTTGACTAAGGACCTGGCTTATGCACATGTTGGACATGGAGAGCACCTGCAGTGCTGCTGCTGAGAAGGATAACATTATGAAATCCTGCAGCATTATCACTTGTACTGCTTTGTGCAGCGCTGCAACGAGTCGGCTTATGTATATGCATGAGATCCACAAGGCACTTTGCATTGACCATTTATGGCAGAAATTGGGCGTATTGAGGGCGGGATGTGATCCAAAAACACCTGAGAACCTTTCAAGGACGTTTGTGATTTATAAAGCGGAGACTACGTGAAGCTGTGCGTACTCCATGTTTGATAGATCACAAACCTACTTGACCTAAGTAAATTTTTTTTTTGCTGAGCTTAACACTGTTTTAGTAATGATTCTATGCAGTGTTTGGTAAATGAGACCCCAGAACCAGGATCTTAACTCATTCGCTGCCAGCCGTTTCCTGATCAGTAAAGCACTTTGCTGCCAGCGTTTCTCACCGTCTTTACTGTTTTTTGAAGAGTGACAGAACGTTGCGCGCTAGGATGATGTTGACGCCAAAACAACCAAAACAAAGCGAAGAATCCGCGTGTTTCGAGCGTTAGCCGTTATTTCATAATCCGTTGTTGAATTGTGATCGGCAGAAGCTTTTCCCGTTCGTGCCTCACTTTTTTTACAGCAGCGGCCCGAAACGATCTCTTAACACATGGATGTTCTGCTTCCTGATCACATGACGTGTGACGTATGCGGATGAAGATCGGCTTCAGAGCGGAGATGTTTGTTCTCACAACGCGGGGGCTCGTTCCGACGCCCACACAGTAAAAACATGCAAATGACGACTTTAGTCGTCATTGGCAGGGAATGAGTTTAAATGGTCATTCCCAAAGCTCACACCTCCTTTGGCCGCTCCTCATTCCAGTTTGCTGCTTCCAACGACTGGAATGAGCTGCAAAAATCACTGAAGCTCACTACCTACGTTCCATTATCTACCTTCAATAATTCATTACAATCAAAAGTTTCTGATGAATGTTCCTGCTTCTGAGTAATTAGACTGTTTTAAGTCTGTTTTGATTGCTTCTACACATTATATATAAGAGTCATTTATGTCTTTACGTCTGTTTTATTGTACCTTTAACAGAAGTTACAGTGCCTGTATAAACCAAATCATGTCAGATTCTACCGATCTGTTCTGTGGGGTACCCCAAGGCTCTGTTTTGGGTCCACTGTTGTTTCTTACTGTACATACACCCTCTTGAAGAGATAATTGGGCTGTATGGTGGCGCAGTGGTTAGCACTGTTGCCTCGCAGCGCGAAGGTCACAGGGTCAAAACCCGCCTTTCTGCGTGGAGTTGCGTGTTCTCCCCAGTGGGTTTCCTCCGGGTACTCCGGTTTCCCCCACAGATCACAACATGCCCTATAGGTTAAAAAAATTGTACATCGCTTTGGATAAAAGCGTCTGCGAAATGAATAAACATAATAATAATAATAATAATAATTGATTCTTTTCATTTTGTCTCTTATCACCTATATGCAGATGATATTCAGCTGTACTGCTTCTTTAAGGATTCTGAGTTCTATAAACTGTCTGAATTACTAGAGTGTCTATCAGCGATCACCAGCTGGCTAGAAGATAAGTTACTTCAGTTAAACTCTGAAAAGACTGAATGTCTGATCATTGCCCATGAGAGCATGGTTCCCCTGATTAGTCTAAAACTTGGTCATTTATCCTCTGCCGTCAAGACAAACTTAAGGAATTTGGGTGTTTTTGACCAATCAATGTCTCTTGAAGGTCACTTAAAAACGTTGATCAGAAACAGCTTTTATAACTTAATAAATATCTCCAAACTGCGAAGGTTGGTGTCAAAACATGACCTAGAAATGGTTCTCCATGCCTTTATCTCCTCCCGTCTAGATGACTGTAACACACTTCACATGTTTTAACAAAAAAGCCCTTGACCGCCTTCAGTTGGTCCAGAACTCTGCAGCGAGGCTCCTAACGGGAGCAAACAGAAGAGCTCACATCACTCCTGTTCTGATGACTCTGCACTGGTTACCCTTTAACTCTAGAGATCATTTTAGAGTCCTGACTAGAACCTTCAGGGCTCTACACGGTCAAGCTCCTCCATACATTACTGAACTGTTAAAGCCTTATGCTCCAACCCCTCAGGTCCACACACCAAAACCTTGTAGAAGTTCCAGAGACCAGATATAAAAGTCGAGGTGATCGATCCTTCCAGACCGTTGCACCCCGACTCTGGAATGATCTTCCTTTATCCTTACGCAGCATCGACAGTCTGGACACTTTTTAAAAACAGCTGAAGACCCTTTTATTTAAAGCTGCTTTTACCTAAACATTTTATTTTCTTATTTTAACTCAAAATTTTAATCTTTCATCTGTTTATGAAATGTTATAATTACACGAGTTAAATTTTTCTGATGTTAATCTGTTTCTGTTTTGAGATCGTTATGATTTTATGACTTTGTTTTATTCTGTTTTGATCTATGTGAAGCACTTTGTGATTCCATGTCCGTGATGATTGCTATAGAAATAAAATTTACTTACTTGTCTTATTTTGATCTGGTTTGTTTGAATGGTTCTTTGATGTAAAGCTAACTGTGTCTGTTGCTGCTGCCTCTTGGCCAGATCGTCGTCATTAACGTGAATGAGTTACCACTCATCTGGTTAAACAAAGGTTAAATAAAATAAAAATAAATGAAACCTGAAGTTGGAGGAGAAGCGGGCTGATGTGATTGGAGGATTTGGCACACGTGGTGCCTACAGGGTAATAATATTAACTCACACCGCAGAGTCCTGGTTGGGATTCAAACCTTCTAGCTGTGAGGCTAACACCGTCCACCCACCGCTGGACTGATGTCTGGTGTCAGGAATAAGAGCCCAGGCATCGTTAGCAAACAGAAACCTGTTCAGGCAGAACCAGGACCTCCTGTGCTGGACCACCTGTGGACCCAGCAGAACCCTAGAGCTATCGCTGCTGCATCCTAATCATAACGTAGGAGACTAACCCTCCGCATCTGGGACTGAAGAGGACAGTAAACCTCCGCAAACTCGTCTCCAGCTCGGAGGTACCGAGCCCCAGGCTAGCCGTTAGCTCGGCGGGGACCGGGATGCTAAAGAGCTAACGTTAATCCTCCGGAGAACCGGGAGCTTACCGGAGCGGTCCGTGTGTCATCCAAACGCGGGGAATGTCAAATCATCATGTTTCACACTGAAATCTTACAAACAAACAATAAATAATGTTGACAAATAAATAAATTCCCAAATAGAGGAAAAATCCACCGCGACCGCCGTTTGGAGCTGATAAATCCTCACAAACTGGACTCCAGCGAAAGAAATGTACAAAAAAAAAACGGTGATTTCTAAAAATCCCCTGGGCTGCTTAGAGGCAAATGTGTCTCTGAATGTTTATTTACGCAGTAAAATGTCATTCCTGTCTGCACTAAGCCTCCTGCATCCAGAAAATCCAACTTCCGGTTCAAACTATTCCACTTCCGGTCAGCCGTACAAATCAAAAGGGTCCCAAACCCCCTTTCTACGTCGCTTTAATACATCTATATCGAAAATAACATGAAAACATTTTGACGAACTCTTTATAAAGTTACAAGTTAAAAGCCAGATTATGTTGTATCATCGACACATGCGCGTGCTCACCACCCCTGATTTAACGTTACACCGTGATTAACGGGTCTGAGGGTGGGGGACAATAACGAGCCAATGAGAGGCCTGGAACAAGTGTCGCGTCTAGCTGTAACGAATCAGTGTGTAGCATCAGATTAAGGCCAGTCCTTGTTCAGTGCGAGCCAATCAGAGGCCGGTGCGTCTGCACTCGCTCACTAAACGAAAGGCAGGAGAACCAATCAGCGTCCAGATTAGAGGACAACCTTCTGGAGCTCAATTCCAGCTAATTATAATCATATAAATGATAATTAAGGCTGTCGATGACTGAACTTATTTAATAGTGAATTAAAAACACCGCACCTTTCACAATGTCACGTTCTTATGAGCTGTAAGAGCAAATAATCGATTTCCGTTAAGCTCATCATGTTTGTCACTGCAACAAACCAAAACAACGACGAACGCTGTCCAGAACGTTCCCCACAAACGTTCTTCTGTAGCTTCTCCATCCATTCTAACACGGCTGAACGTGCTTCTTCACCTCTTTTACACTCTCCCTTGCATTTCTCCTCCTTCAGTGGGAGGTAGGGGGTCGGGTGGTGACTGTGTACAGCAGCCTCGCCTCCAGCTGTGGCTAGGATGTAGCTCATCACCATTAATCTAATCCAAACTGTAATACCCAAAATGCTAATGCAGCTTTGTTCCAACCATCCTCTAAACTGCAGACATGAAAACAGGTCAAAGGTGAGAGCACCTGCCCCCCCCCCCCCCCCCCCCCCCCCCAGTACAAATAGCCATCATTTTGGACATTTTACATTTAAAAGCATCAACCAGGTGCACTATGTGGAGGAAAGAAATCCAGCAGAGTTAATGGTCAGGATGAACGCATCATGAAGTATCTAAACATGCTCACACCAGGCATTAGAGCAAATCAGACAGCGAAGGCCACAGTGTCTGCATGTTTTCTACGTGTCCCTGCTCAAACACACCTGATTCTATATCAAGTTGGGGTCCTTGTTTCAAAGAGTATTAAAGCCTTGATTCACCTTCTAACAAGTTTCTGTTCTTCCTGAGCTGTGGACAAGGATGGGACATTTAGCCACACGTCCTCAGCTCTGAGGAGGCAGACGGACAGAGGGAGGACCTGGGGAGGTCGGTCTGGGGATGTCATCTCCTGCATTCTAAGGACTTTTAAAAAGGTTGCTTAAATTATATTTAAATTATTGTTTTTAAATGAACGATTTAAACAAGTTCAACTAAATCAGTTATCAATGAAACAAGATCAATGTCATTGATTTGTGTGAAGCCAATGGACTCATTTCAGGAATGTGATGGAGCACAAAGCTCTGCTGCTGAAAAGAATCCTAAACTTCCAACAAAATGTTGGATGTTTATTTTAAATCTGCTGGTGACACGACCAGCAGAAGGCTGTGGGCTGCATGAGGATTTAATGATGCCTGGGCATCGTCGACCAACCAGCTAACTAACCCTCCCACTACGTGTCCTTTGAGGACATTTTGACTTTGATCATGTCCTTAGAAAGACCATCCAACTCCAAAGGCAAACAAAAGCTTCCTCGTAATTTTCTACAAGTTGCATGTAGTCTGCAGTCAGCCTGGTGCGAGGCGCGTCATCATCTCCTCTTATTGCGTTTCTCCACCAGAGCTCAGCTCTCCGCCCAAATAATGAATCGCACCAAATCTGACTTGACCGATGGGGCTCTCGGAGCGGAGCGGAGACGAGCCCCTCGACTGGAGGAAGAGCTGCGTTAGTATGGGTGGTCGCGCGTCACCGGTTCCAACAGATTTATTCATGTATTGCACTGTTGGCCTCTTGTGCAATATTTCATCCCGTGTTTAACAGCCAAACTGGTTAATCTGTGAAACCCTCGCTGTCATGCAGAAACACAACACCTTTGGTCGTGTAGGTGACCCATGTCAGGTTTAAAAACGCCAACAGGGCGAGGGATTTCACGTCTGAAAGCGGCCATCACACATAACACTGAGACTCGGTGGCAGTTGTTTACAGATTATAATAAAATGTTTTCACAGAAGGCAGAACAAAGGCAGAAAACATGGTTACAAAAATTGTCAATATATTAAAAGATGAATTTCCCAGGAGGCTGCTCCTCTCCTTCAGAAAGGGTAGTCCCTCCACAGGCTGCAAGACAAAAACACACCGATGAGAGGAAACGACACATGGGAACGGCTGAAGGGTTAATCGAATACAGCAGCTGGAATTAGTAGAACAGCTGCAGTGTGTGTGTGTGTGTGTGTGTTACCTCAGTCTGTATTCAGCGTCAGTGTGTGTTTGCAGCAGCAGGTATCTGATCTCCTCAGGTGGCTCCAGACCATGAAGCTGTGCTCTGTCCCACCTCTGCAGCCTGCTGATACCTAGAACCAAAGGGGAAGACAGGAATCCTCAGAGTTAGCCACAGCTCAAAGAAGCAGCTTTACTTTACAGATTTAAACTCCTGTCTTCACAACTCAGAACCATTACATCAGTCAGGGCTGTTCCTTCTTTGTTTTATTATTAAACTCAGGCCTAGTCCACACGTAGCCGGGTTTTTAAAAACGAATATCCGCCCCTCCAAAAACTTGCATCCACACCACCTCGTTTTTAAAAACTCTGTCCACACGTACCCGGATAAATACGTTGTTAAGGACATGCCAGACCTGTAGGCGGCAGTACTTCCCCCGTTCTTAACCTCGTCCTTCGTCTGTGGTCTTCCACAAGGAGCAGTAATTCCTCTTGCAAAAACAAACAAGCAAAAAGCGCTTGGACAATTGATAAAGCGAGCGCAGCTCTGAGGGCATCCATGCTGTCGGCTAGTGTAAACGCAGGTCGCACACGTGATGTCAGCATGTTTTTGTCGCGGAAAGTGACGTTGCGGACCTTAAAACTCCGGTTTTGTCCGTCCACACGCAGACACCCAAAACGGAGAAAACGCAGATCTTCACTTTGGCCGTGATTTTTAAAAAGATCCGTTTTCGTCTGAAAAAACTCCGTTTTCGTGTGGATGACAGGCTAAAACGTAGAAAAACATCTACGTTTTGGCAGATCCCCGGCTACGTGTGGACAGGGCCTAAACCTTCTTGTCCGTTGTCCCCCGGTTCAGCTCTCTGTCAGCCCCCTATCAGCTCCCGGTCCAGTTTCCTGCCAGCCGCTGGTCCATTTTTAGTCCAGTACAATAGAAAATGATAAATGAGGACAGGTAAGAACAAAACGAATAAAATAAAAGCATTTAGTGGTAATTAGGTGGATGTGGTCAGACCCAAGTGTACCAGCTAAACAGCCGTAGCAGACAGGTGAATCTGACAAAACTTCAACTACTTCAGAAAATCAAGAATTTTCCAGAAACGATGCAGAAGGATGGAAGCTAACGCCTTCACACCGGGACTCACCGAGCAGAAACTAATTGCTACAGCGACAACAGAGGATATGAAGAAATGAAATGTCTGTTCTTTCTGAGCACTGATGATGTCTGTTGTGATTTTTATTTCTTTGAAAGCTGGTTAAAATTTCAGATATAGAACATATTTAGATTTCCTTTTGACTGCTTATTCTTCAGGAAGAAGACCTAAAACAGGCAGAATTTATATTCCGATGCCTGTTTTATTGAATTCTGTTCTCCAATTCTGGGAGAATTCAGTCTAAAATAAACAGGAAGTTTAATCTCCACAGATGCGAAGAAGTGATTTCTTTCTTATTTAGTGTCTGCTCTTTAAATAAAGCCCAGAACCCAAAAATGGATTTTTGTCTGCAAGAGGAACAGGACCTAGTCTGGTCCTCCCGAAGAAGCAGAAAAGGCTGGATTTTATCTTCAGCAGCGCTCAGAACCCGAGCCAGAACGTGAGCGTGTTAAACCTCCACCACTGCTGGACTGGCTTTTCAGACAGATTAACCACCCGATGGAGGCCAGGGCAGGGAGCACAACCAAAATGCTAACGGCTAGCTGAACGCTAGGTGGGTGAGAATCAGGGACGGACTGGGGCAATCATTCATCCCAGCTGGGAGTGGTGTGAGCTAGTTAACGGTTCACTAACAGCTCATCTGGGGGGTGGGGGTCACTCTACAATCGTGGAATGGGCCGTTTGTTTCTCTTCATGCTCCACGATGCTTGATCTAGGGTTACATCATGAAATGGGCGGAGTTCACACTGATGGGGGCCGGATTGGATCAAATCCCAGGGTCTTACTTTTGGATTAACGAGACGTCTCAAGATAAAAACTTGTTTCTGAACAACTGACGTCTCCATGGGGGCCCATTGCTCTGACAGGTCTCAAATAGTACGAAACAGGCCCTCAGAAGCAGAAGTCACCATCTAGCTATGGCTTTTATGACAAAGCCAGGTGTGTGACTCACCTGTGCAGGGCCCGAACCTCCAGTCCAGGTCAAACTGTCTCAGTTTCTGTAACTCCTCTTCCCTGGTGGTCTTAAACACGTCGTCTCCTGGTGGGGGGGGGACGACACACGGGACACTTTCTTAGTGTTTGTTACCTAATAAATCATCTTTCTTTCAATCACTGAGAGCTTCCCAAATCTTTTATCCTAACACACACACACACACACACACACACACACACACACACACACACACACACACACACACACACACACACACACACACACACACACACACACACACACACACACCACGTTGCTCATCCTCACCTTTCTCAGGAGGAGAAGGAGCAGGAGGAGGAGCAGGAGGAGGTGTGGGGCTCTTGTTCTGTTTTCCTCCTCTCCTCGTTTTCTTCACCACCTTGAAGGAATTGGTGATCGGTCTGTGTTTGGTCGTCATGGTAACAAACCTAAGAAATACACACCAGTGCAAATAACTCAGAACAGAAAATGCTTACTTTTTTTTATATCATCATGCTCCTGCAGAGGGGAGGGAGGCACACGGACTTTGAGGTCATCGAGGTTCTTATGGGGAGGAGGACTCCTTCCTCCCACTGCCACCTGCTGGAGAGCAGAGGTCCTGCAGCAACGTGAGACGAGCATCCTTCAGTCGGGTTCACAAATGGATGCAGTGGGGTAAACATCTGCCACTTACACACCAGCATCAGCTCCACTCCGCCTGCACCGGGTTGGGAGTGTTCTCGGGACTTTCCCGCCTGCAACCGGACGTTCTGCCGGTCCTCTTCCCGAGGTGCCGTGGCCACACACAGCAACGCAGGATTAGTGTCGGAGTCTCCAAAAGCAGGCCGCTTTAGTTTTATACCACGGACTTCTCTGCGTTCTTTTGCCGCGCCCACGTGCTCACGACATCACTGATATCTATTTTTCACGCTAATTTTATTGAACACCCATGTTCTGAATCCCGTCCGCATTCCTAAGCCAGTGTGGCATGAGTGCGGCCAGGCGGGGGCGGAGCCGATGCTAGTGTGTAAACCACCAAATGGTTCCCGAGCGTGGCTGTCTGCGGACGGTGGCACAGGAGCTAATTGCTCTCCATGTAATCGGAAGGTCGCAGGTTCGAGCCCCGCTCAGTCTGTCGCTGTGTCCTTGGGCAAGACACTTAACCCCCCTTGCCTGCTGATGGTGGTCAGAGGGTCCGGTGGCGCCTGTTTGACATAGGCCACGCCTCTGTCAGTGCGCCCCAGGGTTTAGCATGAAAGCTGAACATGAAGATCGTCTTCTACCCCACTTCCTGCACTGGCCGAGTAAATACAGATGAGGAAACTAGTGCTGCCCGGATTCGTCCATAATGCACAATGACGCCAACAAGCATTGTTCTGTTCCCCGGCTGCTCATCGCAGATCGGAGGGGGTAGGTGTAATTTCAGCTCGCCAATTAGTCCATAGTGTCACCTCGGTCCCAGTCTGACCGCTGGGGAGGTCGGAAAGAACCAAAAACACAAATCTGACCTGTGTGAAAACAATTTCTGGGGCCGTAAGGGACCGAACCGACGCTAACGTGTAAGCATAGCATAGCATTGTTTATTTATATAGCACGTTTAAAATGCAGCATGGGAGCTGCCCAAAGTGCTGCACAGGCTAAAACAAAACTCACCCATTACAAGGAGCTAAAACAAAGGATAAAAATCTCAAATAAAAGCAGATAAAACATGAATAATAAGAACACATTAAAACAATGACACAATAAAACACTAAAACGAGTCACTGTCTAAAAGCCAAAGTGTAAAAGTGGGTCTTTAAACGAGATTTAAAAACCGCCAGAGACGGAGCCCGACGAACTCCAATGGGCAATGAGTTCCATAGCTTTGGGGCAGCATGCACAAATGCTCAATCCCCCCGCGATTTGAGTCTCATCCGCGGCGTGTACAGCAGCAAAAGGTCAGCCGACCTCAACGAGCGGGTGGGCACATATGGAGTGAGAAGGGCAGAGAGGTAGGGAGGTGCCAGGTCATTGAGTGCTTTAAAAACAAAAGTCAGTAACTTAAACTGCACTCTGAAAATGACAGGGAGCCAGTGAAGACGTGCCAGGACAGGGGTAATGTGGCTACGTCGGTGTGTACCCGTCAAGAACCTGGCAGCAGCGTTCTGAACAACCTGCAGCCGATTCAGGGCAGAGTCCGGAACACCAACGAGGAGGGCGTTTGCATAGTCCAGACGAGAGGTAATGAATGCATGAATGACTGACTCCAAATGCCTCCGTTTCAGGATTCGTCTGAGGTGAGTAAGGCGGCGAAGCTGATAAAAACAAGACCTCACTACAGAGTTTATCTGTGGGGCCATTGTGAGTCCAGCATCCAGCTTGACCCCGAGACTCGTCGCACACTGTTTGGGGTTAAGGGTTAAAAGGTCACAAACAGGGTGAGAGCCATGGTGGTTGCGGGGGTCAAAAACAATAAACTCAGACTTCTTTTCATTCAGTTTTAAGAAGTTGGATGCCAGCCAGCCCTTCACGTCATCCATACATCCAGTAACGCCATAAACGGTTAACAAACGGAGAGCACATGCCTCAGTAGAACATGAACACTGGACCACGCCATGGTGGTTCCTGATGACGTATCTCCTAGGCAACTGGGGTGGGGAGGTTCCAGAGGTGTGACCAAGTCGCTGCTTTGCAAGTCACAAATGATAAATGACCCGCACTTGTATAGCGCCTCTCAGAGGAAGGACTCCAAAGCGCTTTACACTATCATTCATCCATTCACACACAGATTCACACACTGATGGTGATGAGCTACAATGTAGCCACAGCTGCCCTGGGGCGCACTGACAGAGGCAAGGCTGCCGAGCACAGGCGCCACCGGTCCCTCCGACCACCACCAGCAGGCAACGTGGGTTAAGTGTCTTGCCCAAGGACACAACAGCAGAGTTCTCTGTCCGGAGCTGGAATCGAACCTGCAACCTTGATTACTGGACTACCCGCTCAACCTGTTGAGCTACTGCTGCCCTATGATTCTCTGCCCACAAGTAAGTCACAAGTCTTTCCAGTCATGTCTCGAGTCAAGTCCAAGTCAAAGACAACCAAGTCCAAGTCCTTAACTTTGAATTTTCAAGTCATCTGTCCAACTTCAAATTAATGACAATGATGATAAATAAAATCCAGAAATAAAGCGTCTTTTATTTGCTCAAACAGCAGAACGTGTAACTGAAACTGTTTATAAAGATCAAACCCAGGATGAAGAATGATTCATGATTTTTGTCCATGTCGTGACACTTTGGTGCTAAAATATCAAATATGCTCAAGTCATCAAGTCAACACGTGCAAGTCGAATCAAGTCGCAAGTCACTGGCGTTCAAGTCCGAGTCAAGTTGTAAGTCTTTATAGATTTTATCAAGTCAGAAGTCATTAAAATAACGGCTCGAGTCCAAGTCATGTGACTCGAGTCCACACCTCTGTGGGGTTCCTTGACATTGAGAAACACCCTAAGACCCTCTTTGGCCGTTCAGAGAGGAGAACAGCTGAAACCCCAGCATGATGGACTGTTTGGTGATCATCTCTCTGTTGTTGCTTTTGCACCTTTAAAGGCTGCGCTGCCGCAGGACCTGAGAAACAAACACGTAAACGGACTGTGTTCACACTAAATGCTTACGCGTCACGCTCCAGCTGTTAGGTTATTACTACTGTAATAACAGCTGTTTGAAAGGCTTCGTTCATGAAGCCGCTGCCAGCCCAACAACATCAAGACCAGCAGCACCCATGGCCTCGGTCAGGTCCGTGAACGTGACCTGTTCCCAGCAGCACGCGCGCCCGGCAGCACGCGCCCAGACGTCAGCTGGTGCTGGCTCTTCTTACCATCACTTCCGATTCTCGTCTCACAATGTAGTGTTTAGAAATGAAAGCAGAACTTTTCACACACAGACCTCTGCCTTTACCTGTCCCGGATCACCGCAGGGTGCGCGGAGCCGAACCGCGACACGAACTAAAAACGTAGCAGACAACAGGAGGTCTGAGGAACAAAACAACAGAGAAGATCTTCTTCTTCTCCCCCTGAGCAGGTTGGTCCGCCTCTCTGCTGCCTCCTACTGGTGGCTTCTCGCAGGCTCACGCTTCCTCTGTTTCTGGGACAGCAGCGCCCTCTAGGGGACGGGTGTTTAACTGCAACTGCAGGAACTACACACACACACACACACACACACACACACACACACACACACACACACACACACACAAAACAAACATAAAAACCAGCTGAACACTGATCTGTTAAAACATTATGACCACTTATTCTCCCGCCATTGAATGACTTACTGTTAGCCTGAACACACGGTGCACGGCACGGCAAATCCAGCCGAGCATCTTCCATAGCTTAGAGCAGGGGTATATCTGTGTGTGGACTTGGGTCATACCCTTTCCATCTCCACGCAGAAAAAAATTCTTGAGGAATGGAGAGGATGGACATAAACAACAATAAGGCATGGGTGGGCAGTGAACCAGTGGCAAACCAGAGCGATCAGGGAACGGATGCTCTCCCAAATGACAAGAAACCTGAGCTGCTCTGGGCCATCGATCTGATCTGGTGGAAGGAGTGTGTCTGTGGGACATCCAGGAAGGGTCACCAGTGGTTGGAAACTGTTGCTCTTGATTACGTGTTACCAAGGGCGCAAATAACAAATGTATTTTTCTGAAATATTTGTGTTTGTAAAATTGAAGTTAAATGTTTTGGATACGTACTGATTTTAAAATAAAAACAAATAAAGGAGCAATGCAATATATCACCACAGGCTAAACGCTCCCAGAGTTACCAAAGGACCAATTTGGTATGCCACCCCAAAAATGTCTTTGGCCCCATCTGGCCACCCCTATCAAACATTTCTGGAGGCGCCCCTGTGTGTAACAAGTGTTTTCCCTTTCGATGAGTCATGTGTAAAGCAGGTTGTGCTTGCAGTTCGGCAGGCCTGGTTAGAGGAGTCGGTGCATCAGTTACATGTTGTATTGTGTCAGACGTACAAGGAAATGTGTGAAACAGTCGTGAAAAACTACAACATGCCAGATGTGTAAAATTTAATTAGAAGTTTGAAATTTAAAAATCACAATTTTATTACAGCAACATAAATATAAAATACACCAAACGGTTATATTGTTCCGTCTAACTAAAACAGAGCTGCTGGTGTTCCATTACACATGTAATGTTACCTTTTTTGTTTTGCTAAGCACATCCTTACATCCACCACCTCGAACACCTTCAAGGACCTAAGACACACGGGTGTACGTGGCTGCTCAGTGCAGGACGGGGAGAGCAGCAAATCCTCCATGTCTGCAGCCATCAGGCTTTTAAAGCCCAATCTCAATACTCGCCCTGCGCCCTGCGGACTTCAGCAAAGTGCATTTGGAGAAAGTGCGCAGTAGGGTTTGAGTGCGTAGTACACAAGTGTGCACATAACTGCAGAATTGAGACAGGACCATTGCATCATCGATCGCAACGCATGCCGGGATGCTGGTCACTGTGATACTCTTTTCAAAAACCTTTATTAACAACTTTTAAACAAACAGCCAAACAGTTGTTGGAAATAAATTTGCATTTATTGCTGCTTTGTCTAAAAGTTTTAGAGCATTAACTGATTGTCCTAAAATTAACTGACTTCATTAGAAAATACATATTTTCAGAAAATAAACTTGAGCCTTTTCTCCTGCAGCAGTGACTTGTGGTTAATCCCCTTGCTCGAGGTCCGAATCACTGCGGACTTGGGTTAAGTGCAGATTAAGGGTGCAATGGGGGCGTGGCCAACTTCTGCACTTGAGATTCGGGACACCCTACGCACTCGCACCCTTGGCCGGGAACGCGCAAGTGAAGGGGGCAAGTGAGAATATTGAGATTGGGCCTAAATCTCCTGCACGTGCTGGAGCAGCTGCCATTTTCCATCAGGATCATTAAAGTTCATCATCATTTATCCTTACAAGCAAAATGTAAATGAGCAAAGAACTTGTTGGACCTCTTTGGACATCATTTGTTTAAAACCCAGCTGGATTATGGATGGTCCTTGTAGGCCATGGAGTGTGTGTGTGTGTGGTGGTGGTGGGTGGGTGGGGGGGAATTGGGTTGGGTACAGTTGTCCCGGGAGTTGACGTCACTTCTCCCGGCATGCATCAGTTCAAATCGAAACGGCACCATATTGGCAGGCAGAAGCCGGCAGCTGGACTATTTGTTATTGTCAGAAAACTCAATCAAACAGGAAATATGGTAGATTCCTGTTGTGCCCCAGGATGCAGAACAGACACGGACGACATAAGGAATGAGTCGTCTACAGGATTCCCCAAGATCCGGAGCGCCGCAAACGTTGGATCGTTGTAAAAAAACGCGCTAGTGACCGGGCTAAAATGAAACTGTGGGATCTCGAGTGTAAAGGTTTTCACTTATGCAGCGACCGCTTCATATCAGGTACTTAAACCAACGTTTCCTCAACTGTGTATGGTGTTTATTTTAAATGCTTTTATTACGATTCTTAGTGGGCTTCCTAAACTTATTTTGGCGTGGCTTTTTCTGTCTTATTACTCATAGCAACAAGTAAACGTCACGTAAAACGTTGCCTCGTGAGTTCTGCGTGCTGCCGTTTACGTGTTTTATGATCACAGCAATTAACCGGCTAAGCTGTATTTAATTGTTAAGCAATGGTTGATCATTTGTCATATCACACATAAAAAGCACTTTGGATTGCTATTATCTGTCTCACCGAGACAGATCTCAGACAGATCCTGAGACGCTCCTGCCTGACATATTTATTTTATTCACGGAAAAAAATCAGACTAGTGATTTCTCTTGGCGTTCAGTTTATACATTCAAACAGCACAGCACTCTATTTAAACTACTTACATGTGAATCTATGTTATTTGTCCATCCATCCATCCATCCATCCATCCATCCATCCATCCATCCATCCATCCATTTTCATCTGCTTATCCGGAGTCGGGTCGCGGGGGCAGTAGCCTAAGTCGAGAGGCCCAAACTTCCCTCTCCCCAGCCACCTGGGCCAGCTCCTCCGGGTAAATCCCAAGGTGTTCCCCGGCCAGGTCCAGTAAGAAGTCCAGCTTCTGGCATTTTTAAAAAGTATCCCAGGGGCACGGTAAGGGTCGGAGATGTTTAGTCTATTTAATTTCTGACTATATAAAACGATTTCTTTGGTTTTAAAGTGTGAAGTAAACTCATACGAAGTAAAATCCAAGCCGATCCTGTTCATTTTGTTTACCTTTGTTGCCTGCCAACATGGCGTCTACTCTCTGTGAGTCACATGACGTCCGGAGCTCTATAGCGGGTAGTCATGTTTGAGTTAGTTTGTCCTATTTTTAGGTGTTTGTGCATGTTTGTTTTGGTGAGTTGTGTAAATTATTATTGGTCATAATTAATATGTTTTAATTGCTTTAAATTTAAATTCAAATTAATTAATGGTTTCAATTAAAATCATATTGCTCTAAACTTTAAACTTCACTAAATTATTACAATTTAAGAGGGATTACATTTTAATCTCTCTTTTAAACTGTTAATTTTCACACTAAACCAAGCTTAAAGCTAAGCCTGTTGCACCAAACCTTTAAACTTTGATCTAGGAATAACTTTAAACCAGCTAACGAGGATGCTTAACTAGTAATGGCTGTATTTTTAGTTATCTATAGCCAAATGATTCTTCCAAGAAAACGGATCAACAGGCTCAGTCCACCTGAATGAAATGATTAAGGTGAATTTCTGCTCATTGTCTGGTTCACCACATCAATTTTAGAGCTTTTAATTCAGTAAACGTTGCATTGTGAAGCCATTCAAACCAGTTGCTGCCTCCTGCTCTCACCACCGATCATGAGGCGAGACTGGTTTTTATTTACACACCAGCGCCCCGATTAACGGTGGTTAACGGTCGGTGACGCTTCGGTCCTGCGTGCCTTTGATAAAAAAAAGAAAAAAGTCAGCCGCACGTCATAGTTTCATTTCGAACCTCCGGGTCGTTCATATGGTAACCATGGAAACACTCCTGCTGCAGCCCATTGACGTCTCCGGGGTCAGCGTCAGCGTGCACGCACACGTAACATAAAGGAACGACGCCGCTCACGTACCACGTGACTCCCGCGCACGCTCAGCGCCGTCTATAAAAGGAGCGTTTCTGACGTCATCAAAGCTCAGAACCTATAGACCTCGGACCCGAGAGCACGTCACTCACTTTGTCTAGAAGAGAGAAGCTTGTTTTTGGACTCCCGCAAGAAGAAGTGAAATGGCAAAATCCACACAGGAATGTTTGGATGATTCTACTTTCAGAATTGAGGAAGGTATGTCTGTTGCAAGCAGATTCAATGTTTACCAAATCCAAAAAGTAACACATTACAGGAAGTTCAGCCAGATTGCTGAGTGCCGAAATGAGAGAACAGGTGAAATTTTGGCAATAAAATTTGTCAAAAAGAAGTTTTATTCCCAAAATAGGAGAGAGGTGAGGATACTGAAGCAACTGAAAAGTTTAGGTCTCCACCAACGCCACATTGTCAACTTTTCTGAGTGTTTTTCGTACCAAGACAGGACCTGCTTTGCCTATGAGAAGCTGGATTCAACCTTTCAGGAATTAGTTTTAGCAGCAAATGGGAGACCTGTTCACCTTATTGAGATCAGAGCTATTGCATATCAAATGTTCGTTGCTTTAGCAGCTCTGCACCACGCTGGATTCACTCACGCTAATATAAAGCCAGAAAATATAATGAATATGGATGAAGTTCCATATCAGTGTGGTGTCAAACTGATTGGTTTTTCCAACTCTGCAACGACATCCGACTTACGTGACTCAAAGATCCCATTAGATTGTGGTTACACCGCACCAGAGGTGTACCTGGACTGTCCACTAGACGAAAGCCTTGATGTCTGGAGCCTCGGGTGTACGTTAGCTTTTCTGTTCTTAGGGCAACACATGAGCCCCGTGGACTGCGAGTATCAGTACATGAGGTTTATCGTAGATGTCTTGGGCCAGCCAAAAAGCAAACTACTGGAAAAAGGATGTCAAAGTCGTCGGTTTTTTAA